GTGATCCACCCGCCTCGGCCTCCCAAAGTGCTGGGATTACAGGCGTGAGCCACCGCGCCCGGCCAGCACTTTCTTATAAAACTGAGATACAACTACCATATGACCCAATGATTGCACTCATGGGCAATTATCCTAGAGAAATCAAAACTTACGTTCACACAAAAACTCGTACGTGTATTTTCACAGCAGCTTTATTCATAACCCCAAACGGAAAACCACCCAGATGTTTTTCAAAGGGTGAATGGTTAAACAAACCATGAATATGCTCCAATAAAAGGGAAGGAACTATTGATACACACACAACTTGGATGATCTCTGGGGAACAATGCCGAGTGAAAAAAGCAATCCTAAGAAGTCACATACTGTACGATTCCATTTATATAACACTTTTCAAATAACAAAATGGTAGGAATCGAGAACAGACTAGTGGTGGGAGGAGGTGGGGGAGGGAGGTGTGGCTATAAAAGGGCAACTAGAGGGATCCCTGTGGTGATGGAAACTTCTTGTATCTTGACTGTAACAATGTCAATATCCTGGTGGCAAGATGTTACTATTGGGGAAAAACAGTGAACAGTACTTGGGATCTCTCTGTATTGTTTCTCACAACTCTACATGAACCTACAATGTTCTCAAAATAAAAAGTTTTATTTAAAAAATGTTTTTAGAGACAGGGTCTTGCTGTGTCACCCAGGCTGGAGTGCAGGAGCCAGATCATAGCTCACTGCAACCTCGAACTGCTGAGCCTTTCAAGTGATTCTCCCACCGCTGCCTCCCAAAGTACTGGGATTACAAGTGTAAGCCACGATGCCCATCCCAAAAATTTACTTAAAAAAAAAAAAATGTATCTTCTTTTGGCCAGTTATCCCAGGTCGGGAAATCTACCCCAGGAATATAATCCAAAAGAAAACAAACAAAAAGCAGTCGAATGTACCAGATATTCACTACAACGTTATTTAAAACAGGAAAAAGAGAAACAATCAGGGAAATACTTAAATCATGATACAGCCACTGGAGAACGACACAGTCTTTGATGCGGCAACAGAGAAATGTTATTTGGAAAAGGAGGCTACAGGCCAGGCGCGGTGGCTGACGCCTGTAATTCCAGCACATTGGGAGGCCAAGGTGGTTGGGATCACTTGAGCTCAGGAGTTCAAGACCAGCCTGGGCAACACAGTGAAACTCCGTCTTTACGAGGTGGGGGGCGAGGGAGGGGGGAGAGGCATGGTGGCATGCACCTGTAGTCCCAGCTACTCTGGAGGCTGAGGTGGGAGCATGGCTTGAGCCTGTGAGGCAAAGGCTGCAGTGAGCCGATCGTACCACTGCAGTCCGGACAAGAGAGAAACCTCGTCTCCCTCTTCCCCCGCCAAAAAAAAAAACAAAAGAAAAAGGATACGAAATTGTGATATAATATAACAACTTTGTGAAGACTACTAGATATGTTACAAAATTTTTAATAGTAGTACTCTACGTGGCATTCTAATAGAAATGATTTCCTTTCCTCGAACTCCCCGTAATATTGTTACATGGTTTTCATATGGCCTGGGGCGTAACATTAAATGACACTTTTTATGTGAAATCACAAAGGTCGGAGTCATTCCAACAGTAGAGCAAACTTGGTATTCCGATTCCTTGCAGACTTTCACCAAGAGCGCACACGAGGGCCACCGCAGTCGTGAGCTCAAGGCGGTTGTGACTGGGTACAGGTTGGTCCATTGAGGCTGTTCCAAGGCTGCCCCCGCAGCCTCACCCCTGAACCCCACCAGGAGCACAGGGAAGGGGGTCCCCAAAAGTGGGCGAGGACAATGCCCGCAGGAAGTGTCCACTTCAAGGTCAGAGAACCCGAGGCCGGGCTCGGCGTGGCCCAGGACTCCTCAACTCTGAGTCCAGGTCTCGCTCTCTGCGCCGCGCCCCTCGCCCCAACCCGAGCAGCGACCCCAAAGCTCCCAGGGGCTTCGCCGCGGCGATTCCTCACATTGCGGCGTGGCAGCCAAAAGGCCCAGAAGCCTGAATTCGGCGCCTCCACGCCCTCACCCGGAGGCTAAGACCCCCCCGAACGCCGCGTCACAGCGTAGCCCAGACCTGTCCCTCATTCTTTTTCGCCCTCTCAACCCAGCTTTTCCCGACTCCGGGAAGAACCGGGAAGAGAAGGCGGAGGGGAGCGAAGCGCCGCCTGATAAATACTGTGGCCCAGTCCCGCCCCCGGAACGTCACTTCCGCCCCGCGCCAACATGGCGGCGCCCAGGCCATGCCACGCAGACTTCCGCCCGGCGCGGAGACCGAAGGCTGGCGGCGGGTCGCGTCTCTGCTGAAGTCGTGAGGCGTGGTGTGGAGCAGCGGCCCAGGTGAGTCCCTGCCTGGTTCTTGGGCGGGGTTCCTAGAGAGACAGCGTGTCGCGAGCCAAAGGCTCTCACCTGGGTGGTCTGGGGAGTCTTGCCACGTGGGAGGGGAGGAGCAGAGACGCCACTGGAGGACGCGCTGACTGGGGGACCGGAAGCCAAGTGGGTGGGGTTCCGCTAGGGTCCGCGTGTCAGTCCCCTCTGGTAATTTCGTTGTCCGTTCTCTGCCAGGCAACATGTCGGAAGGAAACGCCGCCGGCGAGCCCAGCACTCCGGGAGGGCCCCGACCCCTCCTGACCGGGGCCCGGGGGCTCATCGGGCGGCGGCCGGCGCCCCCCCTCACCCCCGGCCGCCTTCCCTCCATCCGTTCCAGGGACCTCACCCTCGGGGGAGTCAAGAAGGTACCCAATGGCACGTTTCTAAAGAAACTCACCTATCTTGAATTCCAAGCCGCGAGATTCAACTAATGTTCGCGTAGGGCCTACTGTGTGTCTGGAGTATTGTTGGGCCTCACGCCTACCCCTCTTTAAATTCTAGGGAGCCTGTCCTACCTTCAAATCTAGGTACTGAGTACAGATGTTGAAATGATTCTCAGAGGTGGTTGAAGGACAGAGAGTCCTAATTAGTTAATGTTGTTCAAAAGCAACTTGAACAGTGTTTATTTACTTTCATTGTGTGTTTGGACATCTATAAGAAACCCATGAAAGCCAGGCAGGCATAAACCTCGCAGTCTTAGAGGGTTCAGAATTCAATATCTCAGTGTGCAGACTTCTTATCTAGAGTATAATGAATCCTAGGCATAGCATTTGAGGCTTTGTGGTCTATCCCATGTGCATATGACTGTGGATGTCAAGATTAGCTCTGAAAGGGGTGGGGTCAGGATGGCAGAAGAATAAAGCAGTCAGTTTTTAAAAAATCTAACTTTGCGACTAGGCACCATGGCTCACACCTGTAATCCCAGCACTTTGGAAGGCCGAGGTGAGCGGACTACCTGAGGTCAGGAGTTTGAGGCCAGCCTGGCCAGTGAAACCCCATCTCTACAAAAAATACAGAAATTATCTGGGCATGGGGCCGGGCGCGGTGGCTCAAGCCTGTAATCCCAGCACTTTGGGAGGCCGAGGCGGGTGGATCACGAGGTCAAGAGATCGAGACCATCCTGGTCAACGTGGTGAAACCCCGTCTCTACTAAAACTACAAAAAATTAGCTGGGCATGCTGGTGCGTGCCTGTAATCCCAGCTACTCAGGAGGCTGAGACAGGAGAATTGCCTGAACGCAGGAGGCGGA